CGCCCCCCCCCCCCCCCGGGTAGGCAGGTTGTCCCCCGTTTCCAGCCGGGGGTGCGGTGGCACGACCGGCCACAGCTCGCCCGCCCGTCCCGGGGATGCGGGAACACCGGTGAGGCAGCGATCAGGAGCACGATTCCGCCGCGGTGTGCTGTTAAAAGCTGTATATTTTTGCACCGCACGGCAAAAAAAAAGAACTTAATACTTGTGAAAAGTCCTCACACTGTTTAATAAGAAACATAAGTGCCTGGCTGGCCCCAATTAACACCTTGTGATTATAATACATTCCTAAAATGGGGTGTCAGACGCCAAATTGTGAATAAAGGTATCTAATTAATCTTCATAGGATGACACCGATAAACAACTCTATATTTAAATAAAGATCAAGGAACTGAATGCTTCTTATTTGTTTACATTAACAGAAGATAAAGTTAACTACCTTTGCACTTTGCTTCGTAATGTGATTTTCCGAGGCAAACAGCCGGCTCCGGGTGGAGGAGCCTCAGCGGGCTTTTTATCGCGGGTCTGGAAGGAGGGGGGCGACCGGGAGGATGATGATGACTGCCCCTTCCTCCCCGGCCCCGACACCCGCCGGCGTGATGCGGGGAAAAGGCAAGTTTGCGGGCGAAAAAGGCTGCCAGGAGGAGAAACGCGCCCGATTTCGGTAGCTCTCGCGTGAAAACGGCGTTGCGACTTTTGAAACGCCGGCTGGACGGGGATGGGGGGCAAGCAGGGTCGGGAGGCGGGGAGGGGGGAAAAAGTAAATTAAATAAACCTAGTTATTTACACCGTTGTGAACTGTAAGCTGCAAAAACCCGGTGAAGGGAAATCCTTGCTGTCGGCTGAGAACCCGCCCGCTCACGGCTTCGCTCCGTGCGGGCAAAAGGCGCTGGCTCTGCCCGCCCCGACCGGGGGCACCGCTCCTCGTCCCCCGGCCCGACCCGCCTGAAAGGGGGGATGCACCGGTGTAAGCATTTGAGGCCGTTCCCCGCTAATTAGCGATTCTCGGGGGTATTTTCCCCCCGCTCAGGCTGGGTGCTCCGCCTGCGCTTGTTTCCGACAGCCCGCCCGGGCGAGAGAGGCAGCGGAGAGGGGCTCGCCCGGGTGTGGGGATTTGAGGCCGTTTCTTGCCAAAGATTCTGTATTTTGGTTTTTTTCGTTAAGGCATATCCTACAGCCCACCGCCTCTCCCGCTTGAGCTCTTTGTAGCGGCACATCAGGAGCGACCGTCTGGGTTTATAATACTATTTTTTTTTAACATATATTTTTTTTTCCCCTTCAACGAAACTTCGTTCCTCGCTGCTCGCCTCAAATTGTAACCCCGGGGCTTCACACCCCGGCCCCGAAAGGAAACGACGCTGAAATCTTTCTCCTTCCGACGGCGTCTCCTCGACCCCCCTCTCGGGTGAATAAGGTGGGGAGGACGGCGCAGGTGTTTTTTTTCTTTTTTCTTTTTTTTTCGTTTTTTATTTTTTTTTTCGGGGTGTTTTCGAATAACGCGGTGGTGATGAGGGAGTTTTACTTTCGGTCTGAATTTCTGCTCCTACTTTCCTCTTCAACGCCACCTTTTCGCTACCTGCCTGCTTCTTTCCACCACCTCCTCCTCCTCCTCTCTGAGGCGAGGGGGGGGTTCCCGGGAACGTTTTTTTTTTACCGGCCCCCTCAGCCGCCGCGGCCGCCGCCTTCCCCTCAGGGCCGCCTCAGGGCGCCGGGGCCGAAGGGCCCTTCGGCC